CCCCAAAACCCCAAAACCCCAAAACCCCTTTTTTAGCAGAATTTATTGAAAATAAAGGAGTATGGAAGTGGATTTAGGGAGGTAAGAAAGCAAGTTGGGAAGGAAAGGGGGTGATGGAGAGGAATGGAGGGGTTTGGGTATGGGGTTGTGAGGGTATGAGAGGGTGAGAAGAGGAAAGAAGTACAAATTTCCCCACCTAATAACTCAGGTTGTCTCCTAAACACTCAGGAAGAAGACCAGCTTAAAATCTTAGGAATATAGAAGAGGGATTTTGAAAAAAATGGGAAGAGGCAGGGACGAAGAGGGCGGAAGGGGTACTGAAGAGAGGGTGGAGGGGATATTGGAGATTAATGGGGGAGAAATTGGATGGGTTTGTTGAGAGATTGGGGGAGATTAGTGAAAAGTTGGGTAGAGTTATAATGAGTGATTTGTTGCTTAAAAGTCTTTTTAGGAAGTACATCCTCTGCAGATTTTAAGATTTTGATAAATAAATGAAATATCATTATAAGCTGAGTGGATTTTTTATATTGTCGGTTTTGCCAAAGTAGATTCATTATTTATAAGAAATTTAATTATTTATTTATTGTATAACTAAAGATAAATATTTTAGCCAACAAAAACAAAAAGAAAGTCTTCAGGAATCAATAAAACAGTTTGAAATTTTCCAAAAAGAAAAGGATTTACTGAGTAATCATTGATTTTCTAAGAAAATTTACCTTGCGTAACTTATTTCTCACTTTCTAACCCATTTATTAATAGTGTTTTATAGAGTGGGATACCTCCAAAAGGAGCCAAGAGAGATATAGAAAATAAGAGGTAGGAATCCAGTGAAAACCTGTAGGAAAATGATGAAGAAGCCAGTGATCAATCATAAGGTCATCAACTCCCCTTTCTCAGAACTCCAGGATATACCACAAAAGGAAACAAACGTATTATGAATATTTAATTTTAGTCTACCTTTCGTAGGGAAAATATTAGAAATATTCATTTTTCTAAATTTAATCAGGAATCTATTAAGAATTCAGACAAATTCTCAAAATATATGCGATGTAAGACTCTAGATTGTTATTTTAGCTAAATTTGGGTTGGGCAATCTTCGCCAAAAAGCGCTGCAGGACGTACAACAAATTCGAGAAGGAATGAGAGAAAATCATGGAAATGTGGGACTTTCATTGCATCAAAATTCTCCAAGCCTGCATACCAAAAGTTTGTTTCGGGTTAATATTTAATAGAAGCTAGCTTTAAGAGAACTCTTGAAAATTTTGGGCATAGGTCTAATAGTATTGGAATTTGCGACCAACAAGCAAATAATATTTCCATATTTAATTCACCTAAGAAGAGAGAGAATATTACTGATACAATGGCTTCATCAAATCAATTTTTCTCCACAAGAAGCCTCTCCTTATTTCAAGAAAGCTACGCGTCCAATAAGAAGATTTCAGTTCCGAAAAGCCTTAAGAAAAGCTCTAAGTTCAGGGAAAGAAGGAATAAATTAGCTAAAATACCAGCAAAATTATTAAAGAAGTTAGAAATAAAGGCTAAAATGAGAAATTTACAGAATTCTTTAGTGAATAGCACAGGTGCAATGACTTATAACTCAAATTTCAAGTGTAAGCTGCTTTGTAGTATTCTGTAGTACAACAATCAGTAATAATATCTCAGACCCCGAAAAAGAAAGAATTTCCTCTTTTGAGTAATACAAACTCTATCGAAAATATGCAAATCCCAGACCTATGAAATCTAAAACCCCAAAATAGCCCATTAAAATTAACCTCCAAAATTTCCCAGGTAAAATCCCCATCTCCTTGCTCTCCCAACCCCATCCCTTCCAAGATTCATCACCCCTATCTCCCCTACTAACCTTCCTTCCAGAACCCAATTTCCAAACTCCCCAAAAACCCAGAAATCAGCACTTACAAGCTCTCCACCTACATCACCTCAGAACCCACCCCTAAACTAAAATTTCCTTCCTACCTCTCTGTTGACGTAATGTCAAAATTCGTTTCTAAGCTCCTCCGCAATAAGGATTTACCCCAGTTCGCGCACAGAGTTCCCAAGTAAACTAAAGTATTATTAATGCTCAGACTGTTGGAAGGACATTTAAACTTGATTTTACAGTTAAACTGTATAATATTCAATGGGAAAGTTTCGAAGTGGGGTTTTGGGGTTTTGGGGTTTTGGGG